AACGCCTTTCTAGAGACGCTCTGGGAGAACCATTCTTGATGCAGAGGATGGTGGAGAGGATATCAAGATTGAGAGGAAGACAGTACTCATAAAACAGGGAAATAGTCCCAACTACATTTCGAACGGAGTTGGGGTGAAGCTGGTCAATGGTGACGTTGAAATGGTTCAAAACCTCCACTATCAGAGGATGTAGAGGAAGACGCAGGCTAGCCTCGAGCTGTTCCTGAAAGATCACAAATTCATTGGGACCATGCTCCCAAGGAAAGTTACCAGAAGGGAGACTGTAGATGAGGTCTCCTGGAAGGTTAAAATGAAGAACTAAAGATCTAAGTCTCTCCATCGACATAGAGGAGGGACCAAAGCTGTCGATCTCCCTGCCCCGAGAAGTGGAAGCCATCTCGCCGGAGGCCTCCCGAGCCTCCGGAGCCTGCCCCCAAGCTCTCCCTGAGCTCGAGGGGGCATCATCCTAGTTACTGTCCTGGGAATAGATGTGGTACGGATATCCAGACATATTGACAAGATGATAAGACTCACCAGAAAAAAAAGAGATGCTGTGAATGGGAAAAGAGCTCGGGCAGCTAGATGGAGACGCGACCTCAGAATCCGAAGACAAGGCAAGTTAGCATAAAAGAAAGTGAGGCCTGGGGCCCCCTATTTATGGCCACTGTGCCCTCAAATCAATGGCTTGGGTTGAGACAGATCTGACGGTCCGCAGTCAAGCTGGCCACACATCTTCTGAAACTAAAATGTGACTGGCTGCACGTCTTCCATGATTGAGGTAATGATGGCTGCACGACCTCCAGAGTTAAGAGCCGCTTTGGCGCGTTTCTCAGCGTTCGAAAAGTCAGAAATCCCCTGACTTCCACGCGCACATTTAATGCGAGCAGTCAATCAAGTTTAAACTTCAGTCAAATCCACCCGTCACACTTCATGAACTCCTCACGCTAAGGTAACACTCTTAGCCCGAGGAGTGGGGGGCAATTGATGGAGGGTGATTTGACCCGACCCCTTAGAACAGTGACACGTGGACATGACTCAACATGAGTAACAGCTCAGCATCATGGCCTGACCGTGACTAAGTAACAGGCCCGCAGGACAGCTCGCTACGTCGTAGCGCGGTACAGGGGGAGCTCGCTATAGCGCGAGCTCAAGGACCCCTGATGCACTAAAAGGGAATACTCCAAGACAACTCTATCCTAGCTCGCGAACTAGGGTAACCAACTCGCTCCAATACTTAGGCAGAAAAACTGCTTAAGGGGCCACTTCAGGGGGAATCACCTCACAATACCCTCAGGAGCTCGCTACAAGGTAGCTCGTGACAGGGTAGCTCGCGACAGGGTAGCTTGCGACAGGGCAGCTCGCTACTAAGCGACGTGATGTTTTCAGGAAGCTTCTATCTGACAAGACCATACCTGTCAGACTACGCCACGTCTCCTGACAGGCGGTGCAGTCCCTGCCAGCCCGACAAGTCTACTCCCACGTCTCTTGACAGGTGGTGGCGTGTCTATCCTTCCGGGACATGTCACTCATCCGATTGGGTAATACACTGCAATGGTTACCTACGCAGCCCTAGCAGATAACGGCTGTGATAGAGGTTCAGTGGCAGTTATGCCCGATTTGACAAGAACGCTCATATATAAGGGCTCCCTAGTTGAAAGAAAGGTCTCTCTCGAATATCTGATATCTTATCTTGAATATCTCGAACTTTCTCTCGAGCTAACTCAGTGATCTAGTGCAACATACACTCTTAGCCTTTTTTGCACTCTTTACTATTTTCTCCAGCGTTCTAACTTAAGCATCGGAGTATTCTCATCAGGCAAGTCCCCCGAGAATCCTTCACCGCTCTCTTCTCAGGTACCGTCTGTCGCCGGCGAGGAGCCAGTCAGCTGCCAGCTAGGAGTGCCCAGATTGCGCAACATCAATACTTTAAAATTGATGTTCTTGGTTTATTTAGTAGAATTTAATGATGAAAAAAATATATCTTAAATATAGGATTTAATGAGAGAATATACCTAATATATGAGATTTAATGAGAGAAAATTGGAAAATAGTTTTATTTCTAATTGGTTTTGAATGTTATAAGATTCCATTTCCATAATTGATAAAACATTTCTTATTTATCATATTTATTAGTGTTTAATATGTCAAATATATGATCTTAAAAATGTTTCCAATTTTTTAATTTCTATAGTTTTTGCATTTTATCTATTTTTGAATTTTATTATTTAATTTTAGCAACATTGATCGGCCCATTTGACCTAAAATGGTTTAATTTCGTACCACCACCTAGATGAAAACACTAATTTTTTCAAGTAGATTTTAAAAGTATGTTTTTATGTTATTAGAATTCTTACTTATTATGCATGGATTTAATTAATAGAATTTAGTTATGAGAATAAACAAAAAATGCCTTAAATATATTATTCAATGAAGGTAAATGCAAGTTAATACCTTAAATGTTATATTTAATGAGAGGAAATTGAATGCATTGAATATCTTCAAATTATTTGTTTTCAACTCATTTAATATCAATAAATGATTACTTTATTTACCCTCATTTTTATGAATAAGTTTAAATAAAGAGGGGTAAATTTTGCCCTTAAAATTTTCTAAAAATATAATTGATGCTATTATGTGTAGTTCGGGGTGGCCACGAGTCGAGCTCTTCATGAGATATTCTAGCTCAGCTCGTAAGGCTCGTGAGTCAGCTCGAATAGCTACACAATAATAATAATAATAGTAATAATAAAATTATAGAAAATAATATATATTAAAAATATTATATATATAATATTTTACTTTTATATATAATAGTAACTAATTATTATAATTCTTAATTTTTTAAATATAAAATAGAAAATATTTTTTATATATAACTTTTTTTACTTTTATAAAATATTTTTTCTCAAGTCGAGCTCGAGCTTAAAGTTCAAGATCGAACTGAGCTTGAGCTCAAGGTTCTACCTCAAGCCTTGTACTTCCTATTCAGTTCGGCTTGACTCGAATCCACCCCTATGTGTAGTTCACCATTGATTTAAGGTGGAACACCATTGGTTTTTCTAACCCCTTGTTAGTAACCGAGTAAATCTCTTCTACTTCACTAAACTGGTAAAGGCATACTAAGATAGGTTAGCTCAAATTAGTGCCATGTGTCCTCACTCATACCTAACTTATCGAAAATTTTTATATAAAAGCAACAGCCCATTTAGTACGATAGACATGCAAGGAGAATCAAAGAACAAATTTATTTGAATGGACTTCTAGATCAACTAAAACAAAATGAACTATCGTACAAAGAAATTGTCAAATACATGTTAATCGCACTGGTGTTCATCTGACCATAGTGTAGAGTTATTTTCGCTAAGCACGACCTCAAAGTTGTAGGAGAGGGAGCGGGAGAGAGTAAGAGTGAGCGAGAGAGAGAGAGAGAGAGAGAGAGAGAGAGAGAGAGAGAGAGAGAGAGAGAGAGAAAGCGAGGCAAGAGGGAGAGAGAGGGAGGGAGGGAGGAGAGAATGAGAGTGAGAAAAAAGAGTTTTAAGAGGAAGAAAGTTGCAATTGCAGGAAGAGTGTTGAGAGTGGGAGGACAACAAAAGAGGAGAGAGAAGAGGGAGAGCGAGAGACATGACAATGGGCCCTTCTTTTAAGTAGGGTCATGCCAGTCTTCACAAGTCAAGGGTAATTTTGAAATTAAAAGAGAAATAAGGAAAATTGTGGGGTTCGACTATAATATGGAAAAGATATGATATCTGAAAAACTTTTAACTAGTCAATTGGAATCATAAACGTTGTAGCCAATCAAGTTATTTATCAAAATTCATGAGTGAATTTTGATTGGTCAAAACTCTTCCCATATCATATCTTTTCCGCATCATAAATTTTCCCAAAATTGTGACATGAAGTCCACTTTAGATTGCCACCTCATAGTCAAATTAAAATAAAGATAAGAATTCAGAAATCTGAAATGGGCCTGTCCGTGCATTTCCCATAAAAGTAAGTTTGGGGAGGTTGAGGTTGGTAAAGGGAATCGGGGTGGTCAGTTATCGGTTGGGCTATTCGGATATGGGCCGGTTGTACTTTTTCCTTTCTGCAGCCTTCTTTCTGCCTTGAATCAGGCTACTGCATGGTGCATGCACATGTATCCTCTTTTCTTTCTTATCTTTTTAAATAATTTTTTTATTATATTTGATGGCTTATTTGGTTTGAAGGGTAAGAAAAGGAAGGGAATGGTAGTAAAACCTATACACGGTTTGTAAAGGTTTCCTATCTTTCCCTTCCTTTCCCTACTTTTTCCTTCAAACCAAATGCAGCATATGAACAAAAGTTGAATCAATGAACATCTTGACATTCATTAGATTTTCGCTTAAAAAATGCTAACAGAGCAATCAGGGGTTCTCAGGTTAAGCCAACCGGGTCAAGCCAAAGTGGTAGTGTTCTATCAATTAAATCAACTGGAACTTCGCAGTAGGAATGCTACAAAGCATCCAATTGATGTATTTCTCTTTCTCCGGTGGCATAAATACCCCAATACATCAATTGATGTAATCTGTTTGGCCATAGAAGACAAATTTGACACTCTTTTCTTCTCTTTTTGAGAGTTAGAATCTCAGAGATGGGGTTAGAAAAAGCAGCCAACCAGCTGATATGGATTAGGCAAGAGTCCAACCAGACCAGCTAAGCACCACTTTGATGGCTAAAATTAACTTATACTAATTAAAGGCAATAAAGAGCACTTGTCTTAAAACCCTTTAAATTGTAACATATTCTGGTTGTTGAACAATAAAATATATAGTATGGGCTTCTGAATAATCTAGAAGTTTGGTGATTACAACATAATCAATATGCTGAGATACCCCTCTTTCACTGATCTTTTCCTTGGAGAAAACAATCAGAGACCAACCAAGAACATGATTGCCCTTAGGTAACTAACTAGAAAAAAAAAAAAAAAAAAAAGAGTGGAGAGAACCCACCTGATACCAAAGGAACCCATCTGATACAAAGATGGAAAGCAACATGTCTTCACATTCAGTCAGTTGTAGAGCCTTTGAGTGCATATATACCAAAGGAACCCATCTGATACAATCAATCTGATAGAACACTTTGATAATTGTCTCATTCACAGTGATACAAAATCATTGTCCATCTCGCCCACCTTTCCCTTGACCCCACTCTTCCCAGTCCCAAAAACAAAATCTAGATTGTATAGTATTAAAATCATGGCTATTGAACTCAAGAAGACAGGTACTGGACCAAAGATCCAAAGAAGAAGAGGTAAGGCTGAATAGAAAAGCCTGTTGCCAACAGTGTTGAGGGTGAAACTTTTCTCCAGTAGTTCAGAGATATATTCTGGAGTCACTATGCCCAAAGGGTCCTGCGGGGAGTTGATGAGGAAGTTCACCTGATTCACAAACCTAATAGATAGAGAATAACATAGAAATGCAAAGAGAAAGATAAAGAGGAGAGTGACATATTTCAAGGCCACCATAAATTCACCATGCGCCCCATAGACAGTGTCATTAAGTGGTTTCTTAACACTATATGTGCTACTGATGACTGCAGCTAAGCCGGAACAAAGCAGGATCGATGTGGTGGCCATCAGGGTCAAACCCATAATTGCATTTCGAATGGTCTGAACGGCCAATATATTCTTCTTATCATTATCCTGATGAGATAAATGCACATAAAACACAGTCAGAAAACATTGTTATAAGAAAATATTGGACTGACAAACATGCAAATGAATGGAGGCTGAGTGAGAGCTGCCACTTAATTTTTTCAAGAAATGGCAGAGGTTTTCTTCTTTTTCCTTGTATTTGGTGACACACACCACACTAATTACTCTTTTCTCGAAGTTGGTGGTTGTGAGAATCAAATCACCAACTGAGTCACCTCTCAGCTAAGTCATCTCTCGCATAATGGATCGAATCTAGTAAGTACTTAATAAATATTCTGACAATGGTCAAAAATTATTTTTTAATTTTTTTCAAGGATAGGTTGGGATATTTTAAAGAACATGTGTCATTGAACGTACTTACAATGCTGTACCTACTCCAAAACACTCAGTATAGCAAGATGACCAACAATACTGGTTAATGGTAGCCCTTTTGATTGCTGATCAGAAGCACACAAGCAATAATGCCCTACCATATAATTGTGTTGCTGAAAAATAAAGGAGTATAAATGCAAACATGTAGAGTGCAAAACCTTATATTTTATATTATTTTGTATGTATTTGTACTGTATATATTTGCATTTGTATTCTTTCTAAACTGGGCCATAATGAATACAATAAAATAGGTTTCTTCAAAACAAATGTTACTCGAATATTTGGCACTTTGTTCTATTAATCCAGTCTTAGACTGCAAATGATACATATATAACAAAAAGCAAAAGCACCTTCAAATTTGTAAACATTTTCAAAAAGCACTTGTCATTTAATTATTGCATGCATATGACATATACAGAGTATATCGTATATGTGCTATTCTCAACTATACCCATATATAAATGCAACAAGCCGAAAGATGGAGAATATTCTACAGTCATGGTCATTGCCATCAAAATCTATTGATGAAGCATTCCTATTTGGTAGCTTTCCAGATATCATATCTTTGGGATGATATGTAAACAAGAAAATGAGCTCAGTGATATATCCACAGTGCGCCATTAAACACAGCATGTTCAATTGGTCATAAAAAAAAAAAAGAAAAAAGGCTTAATCTTTCTTGCATGCTTTGGTTTCAAAAGGTTTAAGTTTGAAAAGCTCTAACCATAAGAGTGGTACATCAAAGAACCACTCCTAAAATGCTGTGTTTGGTTTGATAGAAAATAAATAAGAGAAACAGAAAGTCGATTGTAAAAGTGGGCAATTTGTGTCATTATGTGAGTAGATAGAAGGGAAAGTTGGTTTTCCCTTACATTACCTTCATCATCGTCACAACCCATAAACGTCGACCAGCGGAATTGGTTCCAATGGTGGTGGTGAAGGGCTGGGTTCGAACTCTATGCCATAACCAAATATGATAAACAAAGGTGGCCAGAAACCCTAATGGCACCAAGACCAAATCCAGATAGCACTTCCTCCACACCATCTCTCTCTCTAGCTCTCTCTCTCTCTCGTGTGCTCTTGTATGAGAACTTATTCTCTTGGTTTGCTCTGCAAAGACACAGTTTCCCTTTATATAGAGTGATAACTAAATGGACTTGGACTTGATTTGGGGAATGACCATAGCAGAGAAAAAATCCTTTTTTTACTTACTAGCTAAAACACAAGCCTTGCTCCTAAAGGTTGGAGTTTACCCAACTTTTGGTCATTTACCTTAATGAATGCCATTCCATGTTCTCAATAATAACTCAAGTGCCACTACTCCAAGAATATATACAAGAATACCGTTGCAAAATTTTACAATAGAAGCCAGTGGAGGTGAGATGGGCCGGGTCAGTTTGGTTTTCAAAGGCAAAACTTGGAATCTATCGTGGTTGGTTTCAAGTTTTTAGAACTGAGACCTATTCTATCAAGATCAGTTCTAGGGTATACCGGTGGAACCTATTCTCTCTTTGTCCCCTCCTTCAAAAAATGGAACTTGCTATTTAGAAACTTTATTTTTGAATAACAATAATGATGATGATGACGATGACGACGATAACATATAGTTTAAAATTTATATTACCTCTATTTATTAAATTGATTATTGTAAATTATCATAATATATTGGTATATAGTTCAAAACATAACATTATAATTTAAATTTTGTAAATATTAACTTTTGTTTTAATTGTTATATACAAATATTAAATTATAGAAAATTGATCAAGTCACTTAAATGATTCAATGATCAAGTGAGACCATGTTGTTTATAACCATGAGTGTTTAGGTTCAAATCTTTACATCCTCAAAGTATTTTGGGATTTTTTTCAAGGCAAGATGGTTCTAAGGCCAACCAAGACTGGCTCTTCGGGTTAGTTCATGTAGGGTAAATCCCTAATCTTTGGAACCGGCCTGGATGGGGTTCGGTTCCATGAATTTGGAACTGACCCTACCTATACCTAATAACAAATTGCGTAGGGACAGTTCAATGCCTTTGATGATAGCTATGCATCTTTTCATATTTTCATCTTTTCTCAATACTTGAAATATGCAGCTTCATACATGTTAGGTGATGATTGAATCCTCATCCCACATTGTTCTCGTGCAGGTTATTTGTGACACTAAACAGAACAGAAAGATTGAACAGGATTCATGTAGGCAACCCCATGATGAATTTATACTCTAAAATATAATCAAAAGCTACAACAATATGGGTTTTAAAAGCCCCCACAGAAATAGATCAGATCTACAAATGGATGAAAATAAATAGGGCATAGATATATCCAAATTCTCGATTTGTTTATATTAATTTGAATTTGAACCAAATAATGATTAAAATATTATGTATTATTAATAAAATGAATTAAAAATTACTTGTATGAAACTTAAATCTATGATTATTTTGAGAAAGCACACCAATGAAATCAACTTGATATCTTATAAATTTTATAAATGAGTCAAGCACACCATGAAAACTGACTCAATTTTAGAAGTCAAATTTTATTTGACCTCTTATTATTTTATTTGAATGGAAGCAATTGTAAAAAAAAAAATTAAATTTCTTCGTATACATATAAAACATTTTTAAATATCAGTGAGGGCAATTAACCACACCGGCTTCTACTTAGATTTGTCATTGCTCTCTTTCTCTCTCTCTCTTCTTGTTTAGTTGAAGTTGAAGCTATTTTATTAATTTCTTTACAAAATTCTTTGCTTATTCTGTAGTCTTCATGCTCAATATTAAACTCCACCAATGTGAGCATCTCTCATACTGCTGGTTTTAAGCCTAAATACACGAGTAAGGTCACATCAGGTTGGGAATTGGCACTAAAACTTTTGCTAAACTCTCATGATCATTATGGTCATATTGATATTTAATATTTGTAAAGTTCATGATATACAATACAAGAAATCAAGTGGCATTACAGTAACCCTAATGCTCGGCATGATATGATATTAAAACATTACAAAAGAAACAACTTGTTTTAATTTATTTGTTTCTTTATTTCCCCTCCACTTTTAAGTAGATTAGTTTTCTTTTCATCCAACTTTTTCTTTGTTTGTTGGCCGAGGGTACTAATCTTACCCAATTAATTATAAAATTAAAATTACGTAGTTAATTTGTTTTGTACAAATGTTCTAACGAGTTTTTGTTGTGATACGCAGGAGTGGTAGATGGATGGATTTGGTTGGGTTGGATGAGGGTTGAAGAAAGCCAATCCATCCACCAACCAACCACATCCATTAGGAACCCATTTTTCTAAATTAAAATGTGCATATATATGTTGCGATATTCCAACCTAATCCATTTGAATATTTAAAACTATGTAAATATATATCCTTAAAACATCACTTCCTTGTCAACTCATTTCGATATTTAAATCTATCCATATCGACCCATTTGAGAAGATATTTAACTTAACCAACTTTTTCATGTAGTTAAGTACATGAAGAGAAAGAAAACAAACTTTCTTCTTGCACTGACCCAAATATATTAAGAATACAGACTGATTGAAAATATTTAAACCTTGCATATTCTTCTGTCTTCTCTCTTTTAATAAAATTTTCTTTACTCTCGAACAAACAAATGTCTTGACTGAAAATGGATAACCATAACCCAACCTAACCCTAATGCTATATGCATTTTGATTGTCTCAGATACAGCAAGCGGGTTGGGTCGGAAATTTTCAATCCTAAATTTATGATGTCTCAATTAAAACATTTGATTATATAGTTGTTACCTCTTTTATGATACCGGTTGATTATAAATTTTTTTTGGGTATCATAATTGAACGTATCCCTAAGAAGATCATCAATAATTGTAGGGGCGGAGCTAGGGAGACCTAGGGGAGCCATGACCCCCTTATGGTTCAGAAAATCCCCACTGTATTTCCATGTAAATTTTTCCCTCTCCCCACTCTCTATCTCAATGGTTAGCACCCCTATGAACCCATTAATACTTCATTTATATTTTTGCCCCGTTATAATAATTTCCATACTCCACCCCTGAATAATTGTATTTCAAAAAGAAATGGCTGGCATTAGCCATTTTCATGGAGGTTTCTTTTTATTAACCATAAGAAAATATCTTAATTCAGGCACTGAATGAAGGTTGGATCAACCATCTAGGACAAGTTTGGCCGGCTGAAAGTCCGACCATCCGGTTTATCCAAGTTTATTTATTTATTTGTGTGGGTATTGCAATTTAATAATTTATTCAAGTCAATTCGCCAACTTTTAGGGCGTTGGTGTCTTTCATTTTCTAACTGAGCATGCAATGCCAGTGGGATGCGCACAATGGCCTAATAAAGTTCCTTATCTAACACAACATTTGTTTATGGAAAAATTCTTGATCTGACCCTGTACTTTGGCACGATTGACAATTTGGCCCCTGAATTTTAAAATGCAATAATTCAGTATTCAAACTTTTAAAATATGACAATCTATTATTCGAACTTTCAAAAATATGATAATCTAGTACTTACCATTAATCAGTCCGTTAATCAACCATTAAGTGACATTTGAAAAGTCAAAAGTGTCCAAAAAATATCATATAATTCTCTTTATCAACCATCCAAACATTGATAATAAAATAAATAGTCCCAAATTTTAGATTCTTCTAAACAGTCATCAACTTTTTTTGAATAGAAGAGGCTAGGATTTGGGACTGTTCAATTTTTGTCAACGTTTGGATGGTTGATAAAGAGAATTAGATGGCATTAAATGGGCATTTTTGACTTTTCAAATGTCACTTAATGACTGATTTACAGACCGACACGTACTAGATTGTCACATTTTAAAAGCTTGGCTACTAGATTGTCACATCTTGAAAATTTATCAGATAATAAATTATCACATTTTAAAGTTCATGGGCCAAATTATCATTTGAGCCAAAGTAGTATTGGGAATTTTCCCTGTTTACACGTACACCACTAATTGACACAAAAAGCTGATAAATCAAAACGAATATTAAGACGAAGACGGGGCGTTTCTTACCAATTCAAGTGGCTAAAATGGTTGCCGGACCTGGGGTGTCTGGTGAGAGCACGGACTCTGATCAGCAAACCAGAATTATTGGCTGACTTGTCCATCAAATGTTGAAAAAGGTTTTGATTCACAAACTGCTCTCCCTCACAGTGGAGCTACTTTTTTTTTTATACTGTTATTGAAATTGTAATCGATGCCACATGCCCTACTTTGAGTTGGCCGCAGTCATCACTCATCAGCTCCCATCCAACATCAGTACTACTACACTGGATAATGCGCCATTGCGCCTGTCCGGCCGGCACTGAGAGGAGGCCTTCATTGAATCATGACCAGATTTGAAAACCCATTTTGAATCTAAGTGCTCCAAAAAGAGTGGACTGGATTGGAAGCTGATGTCTTTTCATTTCTTTTAGTCCCTGACAAAGTAGACTTCTTTGGATCGAGATTTCAGGCAACAGATTGGCATCCTCGTCGGAATGCTACCGTACGAATTGAAGAGCAGCTTACAATGAATCAGGCAGAAACTCTGGTTATCTGTTACCAAACTCACCGCACACATTCGTGGGGAGCACGGAGCACTTAACCCACACAAGGGTATTGTCGTAAAACATAGACATCATCGACCCAATGTACATTAAGTATTAGATTGCTGTCTCCGTTGGCAGTGACCAGTGAGGCATATTCTTATTAATCCAACCAAGTATATAGTTTTGGGGGTTGGTTTGATCCCTGAACAGTAATGTCCAATCAATGTGTAAGAATATGTGGGTTTCAGGATTTTAATAGTACAAAGTGTTAGGATTTATGAGATTAAAATTCAATGGGTTTGATTGGTCAATTACATGAGAAATTGCATGTGCACACTTGATTGAAAAAATAACTTTTCTCTTATAAAACTCAGTTTTGAATTTGTCCCACATTGGAAAATTATTTGCTTTGTTTTCAGAATTTTAATAAGAGCAGATTTACACTTCTTAGAAATAGTAGATGAGAGTATGGGGGTTTGATACCATGTAACATGCACGCATGTGTGCGCGGTGCAATGAGGCACTCTAGAGGTGCACTTTGCTTGCACGCCG